CCAAACCACACCTCAGCTGTATAATCACAATGCTCTCAAGGGAAACTGCTGGTTGAAGTGTTACTCTAATTGGACTTCCTTCATAGTCCATTGCTTCCGCCTCTATCATGTGATTCATCTTTTGCTCCTGTCCCTAAACTAACCGTTCTTAGTGATAACTAGTGCCCATTCTCATCATTATCCACCTTAAAGTGATAATCTTTGCCAGCCTTTAGTTCACAACCAATAAGGTAGTTCTGAGGCCTAAGAGGACTCATGTTCATGTCCATCGAGTCTTCCAGGAGGTAGAGTTATATGCTTCAGTGAGAGAGAAATCGGAGAGAGAAAACTGCCTACTGCTCCTTAGAACAGACACACAGGACAGAATCATGCCAGAGCAGTAGTGAATATGATTGTCTATCTTTTTCTCTGTTTTCCATGGATGGCTAATTTCTATAGTTCTCTTGAAGTTTGTTGATTTTTTTCGCCTTTCCCTTTTATTCGTAATTTTATCTACCGAATTGTTTTTTACCTCCATTTTTTTTATTTTTCTTATTTTACATATTTATCCCAGTTCCCTCTCCTACCCTCCCTCCTCCCTCCCAAGCCCCCTGACCACCCTCCCACTCCATCCCCCCCCACTCCACAGGGAGGGTAGAACCTTCAAAGAGGGGTCAACAAAATCTGTCAAGTCCTTTGGAGTAGGGCCTAGGCCCTCCCTCCTGCCTCTAGGTTAAGGGAGTATCCCTCCATGGGGAATGTTCTCCCAAAGTCCCATTCCCACTATCTGAGGTCCCTTAGACTGCCCAGGCCTTCTACTGAGACCCATGTTCAGGAGGAGAATCAGTCCAGTGCTGGATTCCCAGCTATTAGTCTGAGGGCCCATTAACTCCTCCTTGTTCAGGTCAGCTGTTTCTGTGGGTTTCTGTAGCCTGGTCTTGACCCCTTTCCTCATCACTTCTCCCTCTCTGTAACTGGATTCCAGGAGTTCAGCTCAGTGTTTAGCTGTGGGTGTCTGCTTCTGTTTCCATTTTTAGAATGGTGGATAAGTCAGTCATTAATCTCATTATTAGGGAAGGACATTTATGGTAGCCTTTCTACTGTTGCTCAGATTGTTATTTGGGGTCAGTCTTGTAGGTCTCTGGACATTTCTCTAAAACCAGTTTTCTCTTCAAACCTATAATGGCTCCCTCTTTTATGGTCTCTCTCTCTCTCTCCCTCTCCATCTCTCTCTCTCTTCTCTCATCTATTTCTTCCATGACTCAATCTTCCTAGTCCCACATACTTTCCTTTCCTCCCCTCTTTCTCCTAGCTCCCTCTCCACTCACTGCCCCACCCCTACTCCCAATATGCTCAGGAGATCTTATTCCTTTTCTGTTCAGTGAGGGGCCTTGTATGAATCCCTTAGGTTCCTCCTTGTAGCCTAGTTTCTCTGGTGGTGTGAATTATAGGCTGGTGATTCTTTGCTCCATGTCTAAAATCCATATATGAGTGAGTACATACCATGTTCCTCTTTTTGTGACTGGGTTACCTCATTCAGGATGGTTTCTTCAAGTTCTATCCATTTGCCTGTGAATTTCAAGATTGCATTTTTCCCCCCACAGAGTAGTATTCCATTGTGTAAATGTGCCACATCTTCTTTATCCATTCTTCAGTTGAATGGCATCTAGGTTGGTTCTGGGTTCTTGCTATTACAAATAATGTTGCTATGAACATAGTTGAGCACATGTCTTTGTTGCATGGATATGGATCATTTGGGTATGTGCCTAAGAGTAGATTGCTGGATCCTGTGGCAGATTGATTCCCATTTTCCCGAGGAACCACCATATTGATCTCCAAAATTGCTGTACAAGTTTGCACTCCCACCAGCAGTGGAGGAGTGTTCCTGATTCCCCACATCCTCTCCACCATAAATTGTCATTGGTGTTTCTAATTTTAGCCATTCTGGCAGGAGTAAGATGGTATCTCAGAGTTGTTTTGATTTGCATTTCCCTGATAGCTAAGGATGTTGAGCACTTTCTTCTGTTTCAGCCTTTTTGATTTCTTCTATTGAGAATTCTCTCTTCACTTTTGTATCCCATTTTTAATAGGGTTATTTGGTGTTTTGATGACTACAGTTGTGTTGTATTTTGTCTTGTCTGGTCCTATTGGGGTTAGAAAACCACTGACTTTTCAGATCCAAGTCTGGGGTATGAAGAGCAAATAAAGGACACTTCACAGAAGCCAGGGATGTGCTGTCCATTATGCTCCACAGGTCCCATGTGGTTCATTGTACTCCTTGTCCTTCTAAGTTCTCTTATGTTGGTGTGCATTAAATGTCCAGTTCTGGAAGGGAAAAGAACAAATAAAATCTGCTCCATGCTCCTGGGTGTAGAAATTCCACTGAATAAAATCATTACTAGGTTTTGGTATTTCCTTGGCCAAATTCAAAAGATAGCTATTCTAAAAGATGCTCTAATCACTGTGAAATCAATTTGTATAATATGGGTCCTAGCTATACAAAACTACTGTGAAATCTGTCTAAAACATCACTATATAAAAATGAGTATTCAGAAATACCTTCTAGCAGTGAAAAGTTCTTTGGGTGATAATATATTTCTATTGAACATTATAAAGTATCTATATTTTAGCTCCTCAATAATTATTTGTATTTATTCTCAAGCTGCTCTCTTCCAGATCTTTCCTCTCAGTAGATAGATGGCACGACTCTAAATAGTAAATGTTCACTGAAAGTTTAGAGGTCTTTACTGATCCTCCAGCCTCTTCTCTATCCATGTCTGTTTATTCACAAATCTAGTAGATTTTTCCTTCTGAATCTACCAAATCTCTTTTCTTGAGACTAAGATTTAATTTTTATAGAAATTCTTTCATACTTTCATCATGAGAATGTGTAGAAAGTAATGCACAAGAGACAAATAATATAGCATAATGGACGAGCAATACACACAACACATGAATAATATGCGCATTGAATGGTGTACAATATAGGGAATCTACCCAATCTTTTCTGTTTCTATCAATAATACTCTCATCACATTCCTGGCCTAATACAGTCACTTTCTAAATGGACTCACTACTTTGTATGTCTCTCTCTCTCTCTCTCTCTGTGTGTGTGTATATATACATGTGTTCATATATTTGTGAGAGCAAATGTATGCGTGTAGAAACCAGAAAACAACGTCAGATGTCATCCCTCATTTTTGAGACTGGGTCTCAGCTCACCATCAGGGCCATGCAGGATGGCCAGTGGGCCCCAAGGACCCACCTCTCTCTGTCTCCCCAGCTTTGAGATTACAGCATGGGCTGATGTGCCTGCTCTTTAAATGAGTTTTTGGGATCAAACTCAGGTCCTCATGCTTGGCAAAGTAGGTACTTTACTAACGGAGCTGTTGGTCAACCTCCTGAACTCTCAACTTCATCATTCCAGGACTATTTTTTCACTCTAATCAAAGAGTTACTTCAGAATAAAAGTGTGGTCTTGTAACACGGCTGCATAAAAGCGGAAACTTTTAATTGTCCTTACTATGACTTTGCACACTACCTGTCTCAAATATTGATTGAAGGCGAAAACATGTTGCAGCATTTGCTGTTAACAAGTATCTCTGTTGGATATACTTGTCAGAGTTGAGTTGCTAGTCCATTTGGATATCAACTACTCAATATCAAGGTACTCAGTGAACAATGGTGTAGTACCTTTTAGTCATCAAGAGAAAAGAGAGGAGTCTTGCCCAGTAAGATCAGTAATGATTAATTGAGCAAATAGTTTTGTGTCTCTTAGCTGAAAAGATGCAGTTACATGCTAGAGAATCAGCTACCAGTTAAGAAGTATTTTTAGATTTTGTGCCAAGCAATTTTCAGTTGAAAAGTGGCGAGTCAATTGTTTTGTGCATAACAAGTACAAGTTATTCCTACAAACCACAGCCATTTGTTTTATTTGTGATGTATAATAGATGTATATTATGATCCCATAATAGGTGGGATAAGAAAAGGAGATAATTTGAAATGAGATGAGCATGTAAGTTCTAATTAGAACATAGCATGAATTTCAGTTTCATAGAAATAAAGGCCCCAGTGCTCTGCGAGTTTTAATAAACCAGAGCTATATTTCTCAAGAGTTCTGAGGGATCAAGGCATATTCAGCATCTAGTGAAGGCTTGCGTTGGGCTTCAGAGATGGCATCTGCTTGCTGTGTTCTTACGAGGGGAAAGAATGGAGGAGCTTCCACATAGGACTCTGGGTGACATGGACATTCAGGCCATACTATCTAATGTGGTCAATACTGGAAAGACAGCAAAGTAGGCAAATGATGTTTTTAGAGACAGACCCCTCTGTTTCTCCTTTGCTCTATGGTGTTGGGAAGGAGGTGCGTGTGTCTTTTGTGCACACAAAGGAGACAGGGATTAGCAGGAAGGCATCAGGTGCCTGGAAGAGAGGGACACCGGGAGTCACCTCAATCACCATACTGAGCTTAGATGTTCAGCGGGCTTAAGTAAGCTAATTAACCTCTGCAAGACTTAGTTTCCACATCTATAAGTAACACTAATCCAGGTCTTAGCTTTGAATTAAATTGGCTTTGATCATTTATTTTACTATTTATTCATGTATTCATATTTATGTGTTTACTGTTTGCACTGGCACTAAGATACCTTATTTCTGACCTGAATAGTACATTTGCATACCATAAAGATAACAAGGAATCCAGGCATGTTTATGACTACCAAACCGTTTCAAATAGTTATTGGGCTATAAAATGAGTCATAGCTTGTTGTAGAATACTGAGAGGATCCATGGAGTTCTCAAAGCTTTTTATTAAAAATCATGTATTTTAGAGGGAACACAGACACTAAGATTTTCATAAGTAACTTTACAAATGCCCACTTTCTTCAGACTCAGGTCTATTGTGTTTTTCAATTAAGCAACTTTATGTTAATTTTCATCTTGCTATTAAATTTGTCCCAGTCACTTCGAGGTTGTCTAAGAGAAACTCTCCCTTACTTGCTGTTTGTTGTTTCTTGTTCTAGGGAATGGGCCTCACCACGACCGTTGCTGTACATACAATGAAAACAACTTGGTGGATGGTGTGTATTGTCTCCCAGTAGGACACTGGATTGAGGGCACTGGGCACACCAACGAGATGAAGCACACAACAGACTTCTATTTTAACATTGCAGGCCACCAAGCCATGCATTATTCAAGGTAAAAATAGCACCGTGTGTGTAAGCATCGAAGTAGGACAGGAGGCAGTACTGGGACAATGGAAATACTCAATGAGTTCAAGCCTGCAGTGCTTTGATCAGATAGGTCGGTGTGTGGGCGTGTGAGCTCCTTTGTGTGGAAGAGTTTCATAGACTAACTCGTTTTATGTATATGGCGCTCTCGGCATATTTAGACAGAATAGTAGATAATCAATCTACTGATTCAATGGATTGAATGTAAAAACTGCTCTAACATATGCCTGATCACTTTGTGTCCCTCATCTTATTTTTTACAGGAGGGAGACAAATGTTTGTGGTCTCCTTAGTGTGAGGAATAAGACATATAAGTAGTCATTTGCTTCATTAATTCATTAATATTGTTTCTGCATTGGTCCATGTAAATATGCTAATAGCAGCATGTGCCAGAGCAACTATGCAGCCATCAAGGAGGATGACAAGTGAAAGACTCATTCCATTTTCCTTCATTGTCCCTCATCAGAAGGGATGACGTTACACCGCTCTATGGCTGGTCCCTGTGGAATTTTACATCTGTGCGTGTCCTTTGTTTGTTAGTGTATTTATTTTCTTCTATCACATGTGTGAATTTTAATACTCATTTGTTCCTGTCCCTTACTCTAATCTCTACCACACAAATTGAAAACATTCGTTTCTTACTTTTTTGGGCTATATCTTGTCATTTCCTACTTTATATATTTTGTGCCTGTATTTTTTTTTTTTCCAAATCTGCTGTCAGTGGTTGTCATTACTTTTACATTTTAAGATATATGGAACCTATGTTTAATATAGTAAACATGTCTTTCATATTTTCACTTCTTAAAAAGTAAAACCAATCTTCAGATATTATATATTATTTACAGTTGATCGTGCAGTGCTTATACCAATAGCCAAGTGTGTTCTTTAAAAGAACCTTCAAAGTTATACTTTATATGCATAGGTGTTTAGCTTGCCTGTACACACATGTACTACATGTGTTCCCAGTGCCTGAGGAGGCCGAAGAGAGAATTGCATGTCCTGGACTGGAGTTACAGACAGGTATGAGCTGCCATGGGAGTGCTGGAAATAAAACTTGGGTCTACTGGAAGAGCCGCCAGTTCTCTTAACCACAACTCTCCAGCCCTGTGTTCTTCATAAATGTATTGCTTTGGATAAGATCTCTTGAGAGAAAGGAAATAGACAGCGCCTATAAATTGTACAAAATACGAGAGCATGGCTATTCTTTTCAAACCCACTCTCTCCCATTCATGTCTGATGTTAGTGTTGCTGGACTGAATGCCTGGTGTGAGAAGGACGGGGTTTACACAGGAACCGTGAACATAAGTGTGTTTGAAATGCTGCTTCAGTGACAGAGCAGCTTCGGTGCACAGAAGCTTGCAGGAGGATTGGAAGTGTCATACGTACCTGGGAGTCTCCACTGTGGAGACGACGTTGAGGGTGACGGATCTAGGGAGATAATGGAGCAAATGAGGGAAGTAAAGGGGAAGCCGAGATGAAATGAAAGCACGAACCATCGAACCATCGTGTCCAGACATCGGGGACAGCAGGCGACATGGCGAGGGCAAGAAGCAGTCCCGGCTGAGCTGATGTTAACCCTTGTGGGCACGTGCTTGCGGGTTCTCCCATTTGTCCTGAACAAAACTCCCTAGACCCTCCAAAGAGCCGTGTCCTCAGCTCGAGAGACCCCCTTCTGTGGTGCCTTTGATGGCTGTCACTAAAGAGTCTTCTTAGGTTCATGTTGGACCTGTTGGATTCACATCCGTTCTTAAATTCCATATTCTTCACCTGTTGCTTTTATTACTTTATAGTTTGGAGACTTTCTCAGTATTTTCCAACATAAACTACAAAGTATTTCTTTCTTAATTTTGGGAATTTTAATCTTACTGTGATTCTTGTTTGTTCTAGTTTATAAATAGATATATTCATGAATCTTTCTTACAATACTTCTAATTACTCTAAAGTTCTTCGACCGAGATGATCTTGTTTCCTCCCCCAATTAGTTATTATTTTTATGTAAATATTTCTCTCTTATAGTTTTAAAATAGCCTATGATGCTTACTTGCTCTCATGAAAAACTAGGTTGGTTTTCTCATGTAGCCGATAAGAGCTTCTTCTACAATTATTGGCTTCTGTATCTGAGAGTGTTGGTTGAACGCTGATGAGAACAGGTTTTGTTTCTCTTCCTGTCCACCCAAGCATGTCTCTTACTCTTTGAGTCTTTGCTTTTCTGAGAGCATTGCACTTCTGAAGCTCCACATACAGCACATAGTGAGGTGGGAAGGGATGATGGCTCATGTACTCAACCATGGAAGAAAGGCAGAATTTATTTTCCTTAAGCAATTTGGTTGTACACCCAAATCTGTCTGCCTGAATTCTTAGGGAACTTAATCTTCTGCTACATATCGTAACAGGTAAAAATGCATTCATAGTTTGTGTTACTCGCTAATGTTTTTCATCGTTAAATGTCATGAACAGGCTAAGTGGACTATTGGGTGTGATGGTTTTTGGTTTTTGTTTCAAATGTGGGTCTTGTGAGATGGCTCATTGGGTAAAGACACCTGCTGCCAAGACTGACAACTTACGTTTAATTCCCAAGATCCATATGTGGAAGGAAAAACCTGGATCCTGACCTTTCCACATGGGTTGCAACGGGTACTACATGTGCAATGTGCATGTGTATATACACATAGAGACAGAATAATTGAAGTGTGGAAGCAAACACATGTGTATTTAACTATCAATGCTGTATCACCACATATAACCCTGGGTATATATCTCTATTCCTCTGAGTCCCAGGACCTTCATTTGCATTGTCTCTATGTGACTTTTGTGCACACAGTATTTGAAGGAGGCAGCAGTTTTGAATGAAGGAGGGATATTTTCACACATGTTCATATATTTTAGTTTAATTCGCTTTGGATATTCCAACTACCATATACCTTCATTTTTAAACTGAACAAGATAAAATGTACATTTAGTTTAAATGAAAAGATGTTCATATATTTCCTTATTAATTTGAAAACACTCAATTGATATGTTTGTCATGTTCATCTGAGTATAATGTGTACATTTATCTTAGCTTTTGAAGTAGATCTACTCATGACAAGTAATATGCTTGAGTATATGTAATAATATTGACATTAAAAACTTCTTTAAGGGTATACAAACACAGACTATTTTGAATGTGGGAAGAGAATTATGCCTGGAATTCTTTTTTTGAATAGGGTAAATTGTATCGAAATGAGTTAGCAGGATCTATTATATTATTAGTCTTCCAAGAATACAGCTATATAACCATTGAATGATATGTCACAGGGTGTATAGAAAAGTTTGTTCATTCAGAAAAAGCTATGACATAGTCCATGTTAAATGCTAGTCTATCAGAGGCCTCTGCTTTCAATGGACTCATAATATCCGAGAATAAGACAGACATATATACATCTATAATGCTGAGAGATTATTGTTTCAGTGAAGTTTTATATGCAGCTTAGTGAGGGGCATGAGTTTTAGTTCAAGAAATCTTTGTGAGGAATAATGTAAGCTGGAATATAGAGGGTGGTCTCTTCTAATAGGACACCTGGGGAAGACAGGTCAAGTTAAGGACAGTGGCCATTGTGGATGAACAGAGGAATGATAGCAGAATACATATGACCAAATAGTTTGTACTTCCAAGTTACTTCATGAGGTGAAAGAGGGATGTTTACTACTTAGCCTGGATAACAAGTTTAAAATTGAACCGTTCCAGTAACATTGGGAAACAAGGCAGCTGGCAGACATTTTCCTTAGAAAATAACATCCTGGCCACTCCCAATAGTCAAGAGTCAGAGATTCTTAATTATCAACATTATATTTTCTCGTTCTGGCTACACATGGGAAACTACACCTCCCTCTTCAGTAGAACTTTTTTTTTCTTGCAAAAGAACAGATTTGCATTAAAGATACAGACAACTAATTTAATGAAACATTAGTTGTAAAGGGCTATAATTTCGTTTCTTGAAAAGGTTTATTGCCAATTGAACACACTTCAAGAGACATAAATTAGACTTAATGAACATAACACTTTAGACTCTTGACATGTTACAATTTAGAAAATGTATTGTAAAAGCCTACTTCTACTTTATAGGCCTGAGCTTTAGAAAACAAAAACATTATATGGTTATTTTTAAAACAGTTATTTTAAACAGCACAGCATAGGGACTTTGTATACTTTAAAGTACTGTTTGATTTGGCATTTTTTTTTAATGATGAGATTAATTCCTCCGTAGAAGAAGTAAGGATCAACTTTCAATCTACTCTCAGTTTTTTATTTTCCCCTGGGTAACCTTGGAACAATCCTTTAATAGCACTGCGAGCATTAGTTTTCCAATTTGCAAAGCAAGTTGTGGAACTAAATGATTGCTAACCACAGTTCTAGAAACACACTAAGGTTAATGATAGAAGAGAGAAGGGTTAGATGACATTTTGTCAACATGTTATGTTCACCTAAAATGACTGTGTCATGTCAGCTTTTCTGGTTTCAGGTCCAGGGACCAAATGGTCCAACTCGAAATGACAATTTGCTTCATGTGTGTGGCCTAGGCACATATTCGGCTTAACTCCATGGAAACTACATTTACAAAAACACATCTTATAGCCAGCATACGGTTATGTTCAGTGAGTATGCACATGCTTCCTACATAATAATATTTTTGTATTACTTATGTTTATAATCAAACTTTGGTGAGAATTTTCCTTTTGCAATAAATAGAAATCAGCCACAAAATACTTTATGTACCACCAAGAGATTGCATTGTTCTTATTCTGTAGTTCAAACGCAAAAAATATTATTGGGTAAAGGAGGACAGCCAGTTCCAACTGGTACTTACAACTGGTCAAATGACTGAGATTCTTTAAATCTTAAAATGAGACTGCAGTTGTCCATAGTTGAAGGAGGGACAAGCAGGGTGCTTCTCAGTAGGGAAGGATTTCTGCTGAGACTTACCTGGT